CATGTGAAAACAGCTTATCCTTCCATGCTTCCACTTTTTGCCTTTGGGGTCTGCTTGTGTCGGGAGCTCAGACCCTGGCATTCGTCCTCAAACTGAGCCATCTCACTTTCGGTCTCTGAATGCTCTTGTCCGTCTGCCAAGTTCTGAGCCACTCCAGAGTAAGACTGCTTTAGATCACATTCAGTGCTTCCCAAAAGGACACTTCTACCAGCTGCACATGACAAGGGCCCCCTTCAGTTGCTCCAAGAGTGGCATTTAAAAACTCTCTCCTTCTTCTGTGCCCAGGCTGGTGCTGGGGAACGGTGAGCCTCTTCTTAAGCTTGTGCCTGATTATAATTTCCCTGTTGTTGTTCATCCTTTAGGATTGTTCAGAAGCAATACCATGCAGGAAACAAACTAAATTAGAAAAGCAAAGGTAGTCCTGGTATTCAAAGAAATCAAGGGGATAGCTGGCTAAAGCCTTATTATTATTATTATTTTTAACCTAAAGATTCCAGTTACATATGAAACTATTCAGACAGACTAATACTGCTAGTGCCAACTGAGCTTAATTATGAGTCCTTAATTTGATTTAGTGGCTGATTTGAAAAATCCTTGACTTCTTAGTGAAATAAAAAAAAAAAATTCTGTACCTATGTTGTGGTGAATTTCCTTCCACGGAAAACTGATAACCCAGAAAACACTCTGTAATTAAAAGAGTGTTTGCTCCTATAAAGAGCTCAGAGTTTAAATGAGGTATAATTAGAAGCCAAAAACATTTGCTTGTGTATTATGGAATTGTATAATGGTTGTCTATTAAACAAGGGACTTTTTAGTTTCGCTCTTCTAAAATTTGCATTCAATGTACACTCATCAAATACTGTATGAAGTATATGTTCTAGGTAGTGATGCTCATTTTGGTTTATACTAAATTTAATTTACTGGCTTTAGGACATACTTGACATTAGGTATTGGACTTTTATTAACTTAAAATGTTTATTCTCTTCAAAAGGAGTCTCATAACCTTCAGGACAGGGTGCCCTATAACTAACCCTTTCTATGCCCCGAGTCCACAGTGCCTTGAACATAAGAAAGTGCTCCACGAATGTGTGTGACAGAATGATGCTGGTTACAATTCTCTGAGCCATGGCCTATTCAGCATGTGGCACTGAATTTTCAATGTGTGATGTTCTGAATATTGTGAGGAAATGAATTATCCTTGTTTGAACAAGCTTCTTAACACTTGCCATTTAAATTTCATTAGACAAAATATTCTCAGTGTTGCCATTCCTAACAATTTATGGGACCAAGGCATCAAAAACACTGAGACCAGAAGAAGGGGAATGTTCAATTGAAGTCAACAACTTTTATTGAGCACTTACTGGAGAAAAGCCCAGGGCCAGGTATTAGGGGGTGACTAAGATAATAAGCAGAGTTAACATTTACTGAGTACTTATCATACGCTCCACACTGTAAGTCAAGTCAGAAAGGCCTTATGTGCACTGACTCATTTGACTCTCATAATACTAAAACTGACTGGGCTTTTCTGCCTGACGCATTACAGTCTAGGACAGACTTCCTCTTTCCTTTCTTCGTTTATTCCTTACGAACACCTGTCCCACACCTATAGTCAACCTGGAGGGAGGAAGGGAGAGAGGAAAGGAGAGAGAGGTAGGGACAGGGAGAGGGAGAAGGAGGAAGAGAGAGAGGGAGAGGGAGAGAGAAGGAAGAATAGATCTGGATTTAAAAGTTTGGCTTGATTCCAGTAGGAGGCAGACTGAGCAACAATAAATGTGAATTCATATCAAATATTATCTGCACAGGCTTTGGAACACGATGCCAATCTTCTTGAATGAATGCTTTGATAAATCTGTCATGATTTTCAAATTTATTAACAAAATTCATTTCCATTTTTATGAGCATCTTAGTTTTGCTCCAGCAAACTTCGTTTCCCCTTTAAGATGCAACTGATGAGGAAGAGTGAACAGTTCACCCAGAATTATGTTGTGGTTTTAGCAGTACTGGAGAACTCTAGCCTAAGACATGTTGTTAATTATTAGTTGTAAATTATTATATGCAGAAAAACGCAAAAGTACAATGAAATACTCTTCACAACCAAAAGAACAGAGATAGAGCAAAGTATTTATTTTTAAAAAAGTAAACCCAAGATATCATACAAAGTCTGTACACAATAAATTGTGCCTTTTCTACAAACCAAACCAAGTTGATTCTCTCCATCTACCCTGAGAAATAAAACCCATGGAGATTAGTTTTTGTCCGAGTAGAGAGATGACAAGCAAGGCTGGCTCTGGGAGATTACGTCCTCCCTGCAAGGCAGGTGGCTTCCCAAAGGAATTCTTGGGTCAGCTACTATCCAGGAGGTCTGGGGCAAAATCCCACTGTTTTAGCAGAGAAAAAAATAGCCAAGGGATTCCTTAAAGAGCACTTCAATTCTACTTCAGCATTTAGCAATTCTCCTGTCAGTGAACTAGAGCACTACATTTTGAGAGGTCTGCTCCTCTGTAGGTGATTGGCAGATGCAAATTTGTACCTAAAAATGAGTTATGTGTTACTAAGGAGATACTGGTGAAAGGTGTTTCCCTCAGGCTGTGGGCCTCCAGCTTCCCTTGCTTCAAGCAGTGGTTAGCAGGGATTTGTCTGGGGTTTGGTCCATTTCGTCAAAAGACCAGATGGGAATTCTTGCTGTCAGGCCGAGTCCCCAAATACACAGGGCTGAAAGAAAAACCACCGCCTGCCCTGTGGCAGGATCTTCAGGGTGTGATGGAACAAAAAAGGTTAGTTGCTTTCCTTTCCCTTTAATCAGTCCTGCGTTTTCTTCAGAAACCACACGGAGTGTTCTCTGGTCCGTCTCATTTTGAAAAGCACAAAAAGAGACTTTGAACTCCTCGGGGGCCTGGCATTTGAACTTCAGTTCCTTCATCTCTTTCCTTAGTACCTGGTATACAACATGCACTGTATCTTGCTCATTAATTCTGCTGACCAAGTTGAAAGCCTGGCAAAAGTATTTAAAAGTTTAGGTTCCACTTCACGCTCTCATCAGATGCCTGGGCAACAACAGATCATGAGAGGTCTGGGAAGAGGGCTTTCTAGTCCAATCTCTGGAGGTCCAAACGCTCTGGAGGTCGAGGGGCGAGCTCTCCACCGGAGTCAGGCGCCAGTGCTGTCCATACCCACTTGCTGCCATGGTTCGAGGGACCTCCTCAGTGAGCATGCTGTTCATAGTCATTATTATTCTGGTCCTATCCTAAGCAGACTATGAAATTAGACACATTTCTTGGGAAAATGACAGGTTGTTTAAAAAGAAATGTCACCAAAAAATTTAAAAAAAGCTACAGGTTCAAATCAAAATTTCTGATTGACTCAATTCTTTTCTTCTATACCTACCTTATAAGGATGTTAAGAATCCAAGTTTCATGTCAACTTGCACCTCATCTAGAAACTTCAAAAGTGATGAAAGCTTTCTGGAGAAAAACGTTTTATTCCTATATCTGAATATTTCATTGAATTTAATAAAACCACACTAAAACTCCTTTCTTTTGATATATGAAGGTTTGTACAATAGAAATACTGTGAGGAAGGTGGTCTTCTCAAATAAACAAACCCAAACTCAATAATAAAGCAGTCCTGAGAAATCTGATAGGAGCTACATGGGAGATATATACTGACACATAAATGCCAGGCATATTTCTCAAAGGATATATGGCTTCAGAAAATAGTGGCATGGTGCCTACTTACATACTAGAGTTCTAAAATATTTCAATGAATAGAATTTGAGGATAAAAGGGAAATTTTCTAGATAGTGGTTCTCAAGCTTTAGCATACATCAGAATTTCCTGCAGGGCTTAAATCACAGATTGCTAGATCTCACTCTAGCCCTCATCCCCCAGAAATTTTTGGTTCAGTAGAGGTCTTGGGTAGGGTCTGATAATTTACATTTCTAATAAGTTCCTAGAGGATGCCAATGTTATTGGGCTGTTATTAGAACCACTGCTTTAAGGCAATTAAAGCCCCTTCTGTAGATGCCTGGATGCAGGAGCATCTTCTTATGATAGTCACTTGCACCTCTGGCATCCTCTTTCAAAGGCCTGGAGAAGCAGAACGTCCTGACCACTGTCCAGTCTCGATGACCTGATCCTTTCTGAATTGTAATTTTGGCTTCATTAGGAAAGGTCCTCCACTCCTGGTTACCTGTAATCTTTCTGGTAAAAAGCCTAAGACAGGTGTGTGTTTTATTCTCTGGTATATGGGAAGAGACAGATCAAATTTATGCCATCTCCTTCATTTTCTTTTTTGGGAATAGTGGTTCTTCCCAGGGCCTTTGATAATACCCTTCCACTCACACAAGCAGTCTCCCTTGGTGTCCTGGGTTTTGAATGAGCATTTCCCTTGACTGCTTTTATGATACCAATGGATTTACACATAATTCAAGGGGAGAGTTTTAACTTAGCCTCTCACATTAGACAGAGCACAACAAACAAGGTTCTCTCTAAACTTCTCTCCTATTTTCAACTCGAATGTTACCACCAGCTTGGAACCAAATGGGAGCACTGTTTTGATTATAGGTTTGGTGAACTAAAATTTATTAGAAAAGAAGTCTAATTCTCCAGCATGTTGGCTCAGAAGCTAGAAAGCTTTTTGGGGGATTAAACAATTCCCATGTAAGAAGTGCACTGACTGAAACCAAATGTTATCTGTATTTCAGTGTCAGCCGTGGCTGCCATACTCTGGAAAGGGATTTTTATGGGAACAAGCAAATATCTCTGAAAAAAAAAAGCATTATGGCCCCAGATCTATGTATGGTGAAACAACTGTAACAATTTAAATTGCTATGTTCTTAAGGACTTTAAAGTTCTATTAATAAAAAGCAGAGTCACTCACAGATGAAGTTTAGTATAATTCAAATAAAAGTGAGTTATTTGGCCATTTCCCAATACTTATTCCCCATCTGAGATTTGGAAGATCATTATACCTCGTAGGTCTGTGGCAGTTAACAGCATTACCTGATTCATCGACTCTTATTTTCTTGGTAGGGCTGTCACAATTCTCATCGTCAGACATTTCCATTTCTTCTTCGCGGCGGATGCCCATGAGCTGCTCACTTTGAGCATTCCGGAGCTCCTGAAAGTACAGGACACATAATGTCAGAGTCACAGACATACCTGCCTTTTCCCGATGGGCTTGGGGTATATTATGACTGACATACCAACATTCAGAATCCAAAGCTTTTCCCTCCCAAGCACAGTCCCACCTAATCTAGATGAAGTTCTGAAGAGTATGGGGCAGAGGAAAGACCCAGGTCAGACTTGTGGTATATCCCTGCTCACCAAGGATAAGCCAAGGGCTCCTCAGCAAATTATGCAATCTCTCAAGTCTCAAATTCCTCATTTGTAAAAGAAAAAGGGGCGGGGAGACAATAACATCCACCTAGCAGAGCTCTTTGCAGTAACTGCTTAGAAATACCTGCTATATGGCTGGCATGTAGTAGGGACTTATACCTTATGAGTTAGAACATGAACAATAGAATTAAAAAGTCCTGGTCTACCATTGACCTACTGTGTAACATTTCTTCATCTCTCTTAGCCTCAATTTGCTCACTGGAACATTGTAATAATAGTTTTGAGGATGAAATGAGTTAACGTGTGTGTGTACTGTAGTTATCATCATGCAAGACCCTCGGTTTGTTAAGTTGATAATGTTGACCACTATTATTTTTCACGTAAACATAGTGCCCCTGCATGTGTATATGTGCTTGTGTGTGATCCCCCAAATACACACACAGACACACACACACACACACACACACACACACACACACACACACACATATTCAGATATCCAAAACTTACTTAAAAAGATGTCAGGGCACAAAATAAAAGCAGATGCCTTCTCTTTTTGTATTTCACATTATTTTGCAAGGGTTATTGTTTTTGTTGTAATAGTTGCTTTAGCATCACTTTTAGAGCCACAGATCTTAGAATCGTATCTTACTTTCTCCATTTACGAAGGGAGCAACTACAATCAAGTTCTTTGAGCCTTTGCCTAGTCACCCATAAAGGGGGGATAATAATAATACAAGGAGGTTTAAATGCAACTGTGTATGTGAAAACTCATTTTAAAAAGTAAAGATTTTCACAATAAATTTTTTACTATTTACTGTTTCTAAAATCACATTATAATCATTTACATTAAATCATTATTATTTTGTAACAAGCTGTATGTTACATATTTGTGAATCCTTATTCTGTTCTCTCACATGTACTGTCTTCAAAAAGACTTAAAACAGGGAAAAGGCTCCATTATTCTTTTTTCCTTCTTTAAAGTCTCTAAATAAAAATCAAATAGTTAAAATAATTTCATTTTATAATCAATAAGCCTATGAGTAATAATAAAACTAAATTATTACACCTAATTTATTAGTGGCATGACTTTAAACATAGTTCCAGGGATCATTTGATGGGTGTGTATATATCCACTCCACTTTATAGGTTCTCTCAATTCTCGTCTCTCCTTAGCTCACAGATTTTAACTGCATCGTGATGGAAAACAAATTATTTATTGCTAACCATATTTGAATGGTCAATTCTGCACCCTGGGAATCCCCACTGCAGAGGACAGGGAAGGGGGAAGGCAGAGGATGGGGTGGGGACAGGGGAAACAATCACAGGGCAGCCCTCAGAGGCTACTGGTAAGACAGAGGATGTCTCCTTATTTGAACATGCCACCCAGAAGAAAGAGGTGCCAATTCTGTCTTAAATAACACCATCAGGCAATTGGAGGCAGGTGTCATGCATGATTAGTGGGGAAATTTTTAGGCTGTGGACAGCTAATTTTTCTACTGACAATTCCCAAAGAGGTGGCTTGAAAATACTTGAAACAAGTAAAAATCAGGGGAAAGAAATAAATGAGACTGAAAGTGCCCGTTGTTTAGTCCCTACAAGTAATGACAGACTATCATATGGTAGATGTTCTTGTGGGAAAGGTTGTAAAATGGAAGAAAAAATGAGGGGAGAAAAAAGGTGAGGGTGTTTCCACAGGGTGCCTCTGATTTAGCAGTAAATCACTAGTGCACTCTGATAAATCTGTAGAGGTGTTGCAGATAATTAACAGATGCTGTACATGGGTATGTGGGAAAAAATCAAGCCAATTATCAAGCTTATATGCAACTGAGAAATCATCCACAATGTTAAATTACCAACCGGTATTTAATCAATTAAGCGACACGTAGGAGAGAAAATCAAAGGTAATTTAGACTTCTGTTTCCTAACATATATCAAAAGAGTTGGGGAAGTGGCAGGGAGGCACAAAGACCCTCCACAGGAGCACCTTTGACAACTGCACTCCATCTATCCCTCGGAGGCATCCCTTTCTACCTCCCTGCACCAGGCAGAGCAAGCAGGCTTCCTTAGAGCAGTGCCCCACACAGGGCAGGCAGGGCTGAGGGAAGGTGGGAAGTTGAGGCAGACGTGGCAGGAAGCGTGACTTAGATCAATATCTGACATTTGCTGACACTCACATTCTAATGACAGCCTTCTGATGCCTGGGTTTATTTAGCATCATGCCACCTGCCTTTCTCTTAATATTATTTTTAATCATGTTTCATTTTTATCTGAAGAAAAAATAAACAGTTCATAGACTATTTGTATTTTCATAACCCTTAATTTATATATTGCATTGTAAATGAAGGACTCCTTTCTTCTCCTGAAAATTAACTTGACCAGGGTCTCAATTCAGTGTCAAAGAGAACATTGGGTAAGCACTCTTTGTTTTTCTGGTCCCTGAAAAATTAAAGAGAGACCCGACCTCCCTTTACTCATAATCCTGAACAGAAAACCAGAACTGTATCATTCACCAACCCCCTTAGGCACTAGTGAACAAAATAAAAAATGCCCTTCTTAACAATAAATTGCACTAGCATTTTAAGTGTCACATTATTGTGAAGTCATTCAGTATTCACCATAATAACAGTGATAATAAAGAATTCATTTGGTATTCATGTGGATGTTACATCTAGTGCTATTGGTATTCAACTGTAATTTAGTATTAGTTAATGGGCACTTAAAATGCTACCCAAATGATTGATATCACAGCACTTTGTGGTTCCTCAAACTCTGTATAAAACACTTATTTTACAAGTGTGAGCCAAAGTCATTAAATAAATAAACCTTACCTTCCATAAGTTTGAGATTTTGAAAGAGGGGAATATCATTTAGAGAACTTTAGTATTAACATGCTAGTGATGGAGAGGCATCCAAATGAAAAACATTCTCTCATAAAAAATAAAAAAGAAGCAAACAAAGACAGTATACTTACTTTTAAATCACAGGTTCAAAGCGTACACTACACTGTGGAGTTAAAAATAACAGCTGGATGACCAATGACTAATGGCACACTTTGGTCCTTCTAGGTGGCAAGGAAGGTCAAGCCTGGACTCTTTTTGGGGGGGTAGATACTCACACTTCACACATGCACTGATGCTGAAGGGTGGACTCAGCTAGCCTGGGCGTCCCTCACAACGTCTGCTCTGGGGAGAGGTGCAATGGAACCTAATGGCTAGCGCAGGGAGATGAGACATTGCTTATGATGAGAAGCATGGATGGAAAGGCACCCTTGCCATTTCTAGCCCAAAGGACAACCATCATCATCACGTAGAACACTGAGAAAAAAAAATATGTACTTAAAAGCTAGTTTTTCTATTTTAAGTTATACTTTTCTTCAAAATAATTTATTCAGCAAAGTGTCTTGGTTTATTTCTGAGCTCTTTACTGTGAATGGGAAGGATTCTTTTCTCCCTTTGCAGGAGAGAAAAACACTCTATTCTGTAAGTGTTAAGTCAGCTGCTTTTCTGGACGAGGAACAAGTCTGAGCTGAATTTGGAGCTGACAATGAGAAAGGACAATGGCAGGAGGACTGCCCACTGCAACAAAAACCACAATGGCTGCAGCCACACTGTTCTCTGCCAATCCAGCTGTGTGATGGTGGTTAAAAAGTAATAATAAAATCACCAACCTCAGAATGCTTTCGCCAAATGTCTATGTTCTTGCGCTGGGCTTTCGAGAAATGGTCCCAAGCTTTTTGTCTGGTAGAAGCGTTGAAAACGGCCACAATCTGCTCAACTTTGGTGAACAAGGAAGTCAAACAAGACAAGTAATTTATGTTGTGATCACTATAGGGAAGCAAAGCAAAGACACTAGGAGTCTATGGATGATGTTACAATAGAAACAACATCATCAATATCCATCCAATTTGTGCCTTTTTGTACTTACATTTTAGCAAGGTTGGGGATGTCTCCCTTCAAGTCTGTCTCCATAACTTTAGGTTAAAACAAATTCTAAGCATGACTGGGAAACGGTCATGAGCATCTACTTCCAAGCATTCTTTAGCTCTTGCTTAAATGTGGGATTTGGTGTATCTATATACCTAGATCTATAGATATATAGACACAGGTGCTGGCATACAGAGATAGATTTATAGATAAGTAATGCCTGGGTTGGGGGCTTAGAAGTGAAGCCAAGGTAGAGTGGCTGAATGAGGAAGAGCCAAACATATATCTTTTTCTCTTTTGGTCTCTGTCTCAAGGACTCAATTGCAGCCCTCAGAAGACATTACCGTGTCCAAGTTCCAAGTTGGGGCAATGGATAGTTGTGCCATATCTGCCCTGGATCTCGGGGGCCATTTTTCCTCCTTAGCTCCTTCTTCTCCCCCTGTTGCACCGACTTCAGCCAGCCCTCCAGCCCCGGGCAGGGACTGGGAGCCACCGCCTCCACTTCAACCAACCAAGGCTCACCCAACCGGCAGCGCTGGCATGCAGGCCTTACTTCAGCACCACGTGGCGCCCTCCATAGCTCCTCATCACAGACCACTGTCACTTCCACAAGGCTCCCCTCCCCCTGGCTCCCAGACCAGTTGAAGTTCTAATTCTATCACTTTGACTTTGTTTAGCACTTCTGTTGCTTCCAGGCATGGGGCACTATTGGAACGGTCAAAATTGATGGGTTGTGAACAAAAACTTTGTGGCAAAAGGCACGGGCTCTTAGTAGTGGGTGTTAGGGCTGGGGCCAAACAACTGTAGACTCAATTTTGTTTAAACAGTTATTGATCTAGTGAGCATGGCATTAAGAAAATTAAAGCCCTGAATTCATCATATGATTAAATCTGAACTTCTAAATATTTAGTTAGGAAGACACAGTTAAATTAGGCTCTCATGAATGCTAATACCCTATCAAAATAAATCTTTTAAAAGTGATACCCAAGGCTCTATTATAAAAAAAAGGACATCAGAGTTTATCCAAATCCTCTGGTATCCAAAGAATATAAAAAAGTAACAGAATAATCCTCATACAACAACACATGGTGTCACAATTTTACAAATCAGCACACGAAATAAACGAGCGCATGATGGGGCAGAATTCCATTCACTTACAATATTGTGAATATCTTCTGTGCTAATAAGCAATGACTTCTCAATCTATGGGTAATTTTCACAGGGGGGTTTCATATTTACTGTTTTCCACCTCAGGAGAACCCAAGTCCAAGTCTCCTTATCTAGCAAACCTTGTCCTGACACCAAGCCTAATGAAAAGGGACAATAAAGGTTGAGACTAAGTATTTGGGTGGTAATCCTTCAAAATTCTGCCATGAAAAAGGGTAGGCTCTTATAAAAAAGGTCTGCTGAAGAGAAAATTACATATGCTCATAAACGGGGGAATGGACATGGAGGAATACAGAAGGGAAAACAGAAGAGAGACCCAATGGCCTAATATTGCACAGGTTTAAAGGAAAAAACAGATCCCTTAATATTTACTCAAGCCATGTGCTATTGAGGATAAGTGAAGATGCCTCAGTCACTTAGAACATGTTATTACCATATCCTGGGGTGTAAGTTCAATTCATTCATTCATTCATTCAACAAACATCTGGGGTCCTACCAGGTAGCAGGCACTCGACTGCTAGAAATATATGATTAAGACACAGTCCTGTCCTTGATGAGATCACAAGTCTCTAAAGAGAAAGAAAGGCAAGCAGATAAATATATCCTGTGCAAAAGAGTTATGGATTACAGCTTTGGGGACACAGAGAAGACAGAAACTAAGTAGGAGGGTGGAATCAGGAAACAACCCACAAATGAGGCAACATTTCTGCCAGGTCTCCATAGTGTATCAACATTTGTTTGGCAGAAAAGGCAGGGGTTGCCCGTTCAAAGGCTGGCATAGAGATATGAGAGGACTTTGTGTGAAAGTAGGTGGTAGGGATGGGGCTAATGCTGGGTGGGAATGAATCAAGAAGGACCATGTATGCTAACGCAGATTGTGAGCTCCACATTGTAGGCCAGGGGAGGCACATTCAAGCAGGTTTGCTTCAGAGATAGACAGAGGTTCTGTAAGGGAGTGTGGAGCAAGCAGTCATTTGACAAAGAAAGTTGATAGGATGAGGCGGCTCACTTGGAGGGGGACAGGAGGGAGACCAGGATGACTCCAGATGGGAAGTACATTAGAGACTAAGAGAATGAGCACAGGTAGGGGTCTGAGAAAAAAGACAAGGAATTTTCTTTTGGACATGCTGAGTTTGAGATGCCTGAAGGCCATCCAGCTGGAGCTGAAATACGGATTAAGGGTTCAAAAAGAAGTCAGAATCCAAAGAAATATGTTTGAAATTTTCTGGGTCATTTTAAATTTATTTATTTATTTATTTATTTTGAGACAGAGTCTCATTGTTGCCCAGGCTAGAGTGAGTGCCGTGGCGTCAGCCTAGCTCACAGCAACCTCAAACTCCTGGGCTCAAGCAATCCTCCTGCCTCAGCCTCCCGAGTAGCTGGGACTACAGGCATATGCCACCATGCCTGGCTAATTTTTTGTATATATATATTTAGTTGGTTAATTAATTTCTTTCTACTTTTAGTAGAGATGGGGTCTCGCTCAGGCTGGTCTTGAACTCCTGTCCTCGAGAGATCCTCCAGCCTTGGCCTCCCAGAGAGCTAGGATTACAGGCGTGAGCCACCGCACCTGCCCTTAAATTTTTTATAGTTGTATTCTTTTCAACAGGGTAATTAGTTAAAAGCAAAACTAAATATGATTTAATTTTATACTTTTCTTATAAAGTTTTACACTTTTTTCCTAACATATTGACAAATCACACACCCAAGAAAAACAAACAAAAAACAATAACTGGGTCCCTCAGTGTGAGTTTGAAAACTCTCTCACAGCACTCAGACGTTCCAGTTTACTTCTCTCACTGCTGCACAGACTGGTCTGAACCAGCCGTTTGTCTTATGAATGAAAGTTCTTGGGCACACAAAAGGACTCCAGAGGGAGTCCTTGGATCCTACCTTGGATCATACCTTGGATCAGTATGAATTCATCATCATTAGGGAAAACCACCTCCAAGAGTATGCCCTAATGAATGTGATTCAAAGACAGTATATTTTTAAAATCATAAGTCAGGATGACTACTTGTATCACTGTCTTAGGTAAAGACCATACATTATTCACCGCCTACAGTGGGAACACCAAAGAGGAAGTCCATGAATTAGATGACCACTTACTACTTCTCCAGTATAATTCATACTACTTGTTCCATGTACAATAAAACTACAAGTAGTTACTAACTCAATGGGGTCTTCAAAGCTCTACTTCTTGGAGAAAGAGAAACAGCACATAAGATGGCATGAGCATTTGTTTGAAAACAGTAGGGTACAGAAGCTGCACTGCAGGCAGAACAAAGGTAGGTCACCCCCACCCAGTGCTGTCACTCCCCTGGTGGTCTACGGAGTGGTGGCTGGAAGGCCCCATGCCATCCTGTTATCAGATAAAAAACATAAATTCTGTTCTACGATTGTTATTTATTGATTCAAAAAGGTATACCCAAGTTTTAGAAGTATTATCCACCAAAAGAGTTCTTCATCAGAAAATTTAAATGTACCCTTCACACCTTGCAAATCTTTCCCCTGAAATGCTTTCATTGTTTTGACTAAATTAGGTTATTTTGAGAATCATAAGAAAATTAGATGTGATTGATTCTTCAAAAGTATGCTTGAATGTCAGTCTCAGATGTCATACTTGAGTCCCTTGTATACCCAGCAGCTATACATGAACATGAGGGAAGGATAAATAGGACCTTGATGAAGTTGCTAATCACTCCGTATAGCAGCAAACCCTTACTAGTGATTGCTCATTGGCTTATACGTTTGTATGTGTGGAAATACATACACCCATATAACATATACCTGCACACATACACATATATATATTCTTTAAAATTTAAAAACAAAAATCATAGACTAAGTAATTTAACAACTGTTTTTTTTTTTTTTTTGTACTTTCCCCCGCCCCAAGATGGTTGGACATCTGCCAAGTTCAGAGCACACTTCTTACTGATAGGGAACTTTGTAAATATCTTGAGAATCATTTGTCTTTAGTCTTCTCAGGAAAGGAAAGCTTGGAAGAGGTCATCCATTTATCCAGAAACAGACCACATTTAAACAAGCTCCCTGGGAAAGAGCAGGACACCAGGTGCAAAAGCTCAGATTTCTGGGCTGCACAGGCTCCTGAATGTTGAGCTTTGGGCAGAAAAGCATTGTGAGTAATAAGAGAGAAAGGCCAGAGCCCTCCACAGAACACAGACACAGCCCTTTCTCCTTCATGTCCTGCTGACTGCATTCTTTTTCACAGTCCCAGCACCTCCTGTACTCCTTGTTCCAGCTAAGTAGCTGTGAAAGAGCCTTAATCCATTTAGTGCCCCAAATATCTGGAGAAACTGATTAAGTCCTTACAGTCGGTAGGCCTGCCTAAATAAGGCACCTCAAACAAATCTTCCAAGCTTAATTTTTGTTTTTAATGCTATCTGGGCTCATGATAGAGCCTTAACTCTGTAGGGTTCAGAGGAAGGTTTTTTTCCTTTAGGGGATAACATTTTTCTAAATCCTCTATGAATAGCTCATAAGAGATTTTCAAAGGCATATAACAAATGAACTAGTTGACCTCTCTCACCCTAGCTTGTTATTGTTGTTTTTAAATACTAAAAGCTAGGGGAGGAGGGACAAAAGACAGTACATATAAGACTTTGGACGCAGGTCTGGAATTGATAAGCCTTGGCCCCAGAATGAAGGGTTATAACGGAG